ATAAATAAAGTTAGTTTAGTTTAGGTTTCATCCTGTAGTAACACGGGATCAATAAGAGATGGTCCTTACTGGACCTCTAGGGAGAACAGTTTAGAACTGATAGAGCTATCCAGTATAAATAAAGTTAGTTTAGTGTTTTAAAGTGACCAACATTTTACCTCTTCTTCGGAGTTCACTGAGCCAGATCTTGGTTTATGTGAAAATATTTTCGGATGTCTTCCCTTCAAATCCTTTGGATGAGGTGTATCGTGGCGCACGAAGTCAGTCTGAAAATGATAACATTTTGATGTGAAAACAACTTACACCAAATTCTGCCACAAATTCCGTCATCAAACAACAGCAAAAGGTCCTTTGCATGAATGCTAATATAAGCCAAAACACTGAGTATTGGATGACATGGAGAACAGTAGGATTTTCAAAACAATAAAAAACAAATGAACATTCTCGTCACCAGATCATGACTGGATGGCATATGGGAAGGACCATTTTGATATACTTGTAACAAATGTTGACATCAATGTAGCAATTACCTCTCTTTCATCATCGTGATCAGATTCTTCATCCGAGAAGGTCACGTGTTCGTTGACAAAGCCAAGCTCAACTGGTGGTTTCTCACGTGGTTCGTAATGGAAGTGTTCTGGATCTTCCGCCTCGAAGTCTTCTGCAAAGTAAATATTGAACGTCTGATGCAGTTCAATGTCGGCCGTTGGTCTCACAGTGGTTCGACTGCCGTTTGTTCATGTGCCTTTCAATTTTTATCTTTCAAATATGCAGTTGTCTGATTATAACTTCACTTCAGTCACATCCAGTTTGACTCTACCAAACATCACAGGTTTTCTTTAGGTGCTCAGGTTTCCTCCTGTAGTAACACTGGATCAATAAGAGGTGATCCTTACTGGACCTCTAGGGAGAACATCTAAAAACTGATAGAGCTATCCAGTATAAATAAAGTTAGTTTAGTTTAGCTTTCCTCGTGTAGTAATACTGGATCAATAAGACATGATCCTTACTGGACATCTAGGGAGAACAGTTTAGGACTGATAGAGCTATCCAACTGAGACAAGCAATCATACCCAAATCAAAGTTTGGTTCACTCTGTGGCAACAAGAAACATGTTAAAACTCTCGTGTTTGTCCTCTCATCATCTTCCGTCTGTAACTTCAATATTGCTTTTGACTAAACAAAATTGTCATACAGTTATTTACCGATAATGGATACTCAGATCAACTACTTAACCCATCAAGGTGAAGTGTTCGCACTACTCAATGTTTCCTTACTTGGTTTTCAGATAACCAAAGTGCCTTCAGAGGTAGAGTTCCAATGGTCAGAGGTAAATTCTCCAGTCTAAAAAAACGAAATAGATTGAGCTGGTTTTAAAGATGGAACAATTTATCAGATGGATCATTTATCTTATTGGTGACACAAGACAAACTATCCAGAGGAGCTAGCTAGAATAGCGAGCCAGTTCCCTCAAGAATTTCTTACAAATCCAGAAATCCTACCTATTTCCAGAAACATCCAACACATGAAGAGTTCGACAGTTTCCTATCTCAGAAGGCAACCTTGTCAGACAATTTTCTCGCATTGACAACACCGTCAAACTACTGCAGTTTCCAATCTAATAAACATAAAATTAAACATAAATAAAATTCTTAAATTGAAGGGATGTTCTACAATAAGCTGTTGTGGTTTGTGTCTGAACTACCTGAAAAAGATATCTCAAACATGGTGGTCCAGTGTAGGTAGCATTCTACAATACTGTAAGTTGTCGTGGTTTGTGTCTAAACTACTTGAAAATAATAAATTCAAGGTAATTATTTGTGTTTCTAAGTTATATACACAGCAATGACTTACCTCAACTGGTAACATTTGTAATTGGTTTCGATCAACATTAAAAACAGAAAGATTCACAAGTTTGCCAATGGATGGAGGCAGATCCTGTTGGGGAAAGAATAATTTTACTTTTTATCTATTTAATTAATAAAACTTCACAATAATTCTTACTGGTATTTTTCAAACCTAACCCACCTCTAATAAGTTTTCTGTGAGTACTAATTCTGAAACCTTCATTGCACTGTGAAATAAGAGATAATAAGACAATTATAAATATGCCAAGCTGTTTCAAAAACAAACCATTGCAGTGAAAATGAAACCTACCCTCCAATGGCATCAGTCAACTGGATCAATCTATTCTGGTCTACTTTGAGCAACTCAAGTTGTTTTAACTCGCCTAGAAAATTTTAAGAACAAGTATTATAACTTTCAATTGTTTCAACTTTCTGTGGGGCAAAGGGGTGGTGCTACTGTAACCCTTTCTGAGGGCAGGATTGCCTTGGGGAGGGGGGAGCCTAACTTTCTCTCTGCAGCAGGGGTGGTAACTGGGGAAAGAGGGGAGAAAGAGGGGGTGCTAACATTGTTCCAAGGGGTAGTGCTGCCTTTCTTGGGGTGGGGGGAGATAACTTTCTTTTGGGAAAGGGGTGGTGCTAACTTTCTAGGAGTGTTAATTCTCTTTGGTGCAGGACAGAGGTAGCAACTCTGGGCTGGAGTGGTAGACTTCTCTCTAGGTGGGGGTGGGAGAGGGGCTTACCCCCAGGCTTACCTATAGTATCAGGGATAACCTCTAGTAAATTTTGAGACAAATGAAAATCACTCAGAGCAACCAATCCACTAATTTCATCAGGAAGGTATTCTATCCTGTTCTCTGAGCAGTCAAATATCTGCAGTCGTTTTAAATTGCCAATTTCCATGGGTAGCGTCCTGAGAAGATTGCCGTCCAGCCATAACTCAACAAGCTCAGGAAGTGATCCAATTATATCAGGCTACAAATGCACAAACAAAAAAATAGATAAATATTTTGGTGGATTTGAAAAAAAATGCTACAACAGGTCACGGAATAGAGACCTTACAGAAGGCTGACTTCTTGGCGTTGCAATGCTGTGTTCCTAGGCAGTGCGCTTATGAGAGGCATTCACCCCCCTGAAAAGACTCAAAATAGTGGACCTTCAGGGGGTGAATGCCTCTCATATGAGCAGTGTCTAGGAACACGGCAATATGAATCATTGTGAATCATGGTGTGACAGTGGCTACGCTTTTTTGGCCGAGTTAGCTTTCTGTGTGGTCTCTATTCTGTAAACAGGCCCTTCAGTCAGATCCCAAAAATTTAGAATAATTTTATTTCACTTACTAAATCTTCCAGCTCATTACATCCAAGGTCTAATCTTTCTAGTTTGGTTAAAAATGACAATGATCTGTTGAAACAAACACAACTGATGAGGAAAATACTAAAATTGTCTGCAATTACACAAAGTAAAATGTGAATGTGAAGTTTCCACAGTATTTAGATAAAACATTGTAAATACGTACACTGGTATAAACTTGATCAAATTCTCACGTAATTCCAACACTTGCAACTCTGCCAAACTAAAACAAAAGTTTGGTCAGTTCATGTTACAACACTCTGAGGGTCTGAAATTTGCAGTATCCCCACACTACTAACTTTGCTGTGCGCACGGAAGATATCCTGTGCACATTTTTTGAGATGAAGTGCGTGTGTTTTAAGAATTGAAGTCAGGTGCGCATTATGTGAGCACTTTGCACAGAATTTTAAAATTTTTTTAACAAAATGTACTTTCAAAACTACTCAAAAGTTTGATACTTTAGTGATGTCACTGATGTGCAAATTTCCTCACTTACCACCTGAGTGCACATTCTGTCCCTCCCATGAAATATAAGTGCATATTTTTTGGCAACAAAATCATATTCGGTGCACAATGGGCAAAGTTAGCAGTCTGGCAGTATCCCGATATCCACGGGATACAAAAATTTGGTTTTGGATACCAAATTGTTTTGGATAGTAAGAAAATTTTAAACATTTGATAGCTTTTGAATACTATGAGTTTGCAACCCAACCCTTTCCTCATATTATGTGCATTGAATTAACTGTTGAATCTCCTGTTGTCATTGTAATTTGCAGCAGTGAGAGTTATGGAAACTTATTTGGATTCCAGAAATGGGATACTGAATTCTCAGGGGGGATACTAAACTTTGGAGTCATGGTTTCCCAGTTGGATATTGAGAAAAAATTTAAAGTTCAGAACCTGTTCTGACATATCATTTAATTATTTGCTTAGGTTATTAATTTTACCTGCCAATGTCAGGAGGCAAGCGGACCAAGGAAACGTCATTTAGACATAAACTTGTCAAACATTTTAGCTGGGTGAATCCATCAGGAAGTCTAGAAATAGTGATGAAAATATTTCAAAAATCACAACTGACAGATGAGCAGTCTGAACAACCTCAAAGTGGATTGATATCTTAAGGCCCTGTCACACTATTTTGTATCGTACTAGCGCATGCCAGAGTATGAAAAATATCACTCATACGCTGGAAAATGCTAACATACGCTAGGGGTATGTTAGGCATAGGTTGTATACGTTTCAAGCACAGTCACATATGATGCATACGGCGAGGCCCGACAAGACAAAAACATTTTTTAAGCATGCTCAAAAATGGTTTATATGGTTTATACAACAAGCATACCCTAGGTACACGATGAATATGCTAGAGATACACCAGATGTGTGGACAGAGCCTTAAGATTACTATTTAATTTTTTTCCACATGGAATTCATAGGAATACGATAGCTAGGTTTATATCAAAACAGTCAAATATAATCTGTTTTTTCACTTTGCACCTGCCCAAATGTTTAATTGCATTTTTATGATTATTAATAAAAATACTTATATTACAAAATTGATATTCAAGCATGCCCTGAGGCATGTCAGATTTCTATGATGCCAGAATTTCTCACAATTTCTGTGGGGTGTTAGCGAGACATTTGTTAGTGCATATATGCCTCTCACATCAGTTTGATGATTGCAATATCATAATAAATTTTTTTCTGTGTTGATGTAATGTACTCAGGTAAATATAATGATGCTTGTGATGTTACTCTGAGTGTATATCCACACCAGGCAAGCTTGAAAAATATGCCCGGCCACGGTGGGAATCTACGACCTTCGGAATACTAGCCCAATACTTTGCCAACTGAGCTACGCGGTCAGGTCGGTTCGAGTATGTGATATTTCGGAACTGAGTCTAGTTCCTTCAATATCAATGTTGTAGGTTCGATTCCCACCGTGGCCAGGCATATTTTTCAAACATGCCCGGTGTGGATATACACTCAGAGTAACATCACAAACATAATATAATAATTTCACCTCAGTCACATGTGAGAAGAGTGCTTTCAGTTTGATTCTACCAAAACACTGCCTATTTTCTGCATGTACTCCACTTCAAACAATAGACATGGAATACAGGGAGACCATTTACAACAGAAAATGTTTTAAGTTCTTTGTAGGTTTGCATGGCAATAAAACATATAATACTATTGTTTGTGTTTTCTATTAGAAAATATTTGCTATATTTAAAGTTAAAATTATTTCACTTTCTGCAATGCCAATATAAACAGTGCTAAATGACAATCAATATCAAAAAAGGCAAATACAAAATATGAAGAAAAGGTTTATACAATCTAAAAGAACAGTCTAACAGTCTATGGAAATGTAGCGGTGCTGTAAACAAGCGCGCACATTTTTTACACGGTAACATTTGAGGATATTTAAATGCAAATTTCAGTGCTGCAGAGACAATTTTAATCTAACGAAAACATGTCGCAGATTCATTTAAATTTTTGATTATGCAAACTTGTGTCAACATCGGTTTGCAATCAGTGCATGTTCCATTTCTGGGATTGGTATTGACTTTTATAAACAAGTGTTCACATTCGTCTGTGTAAAAAACTCTAAAATTTCATGGTTAAATATTTTAAATGAAATATGTCAAAAAGAAAAGCACTTAGCCCAATTGATGGGCTTCCTTGGGGGGATATATAAAAGGATTCCATTGTCAGTTTTCAATGAAATTAATACACAAAAATTTGCATTGCATGACATGCCAAAACATATCAAAACTTATAAGAGTATAACTATATAAAATTGGTCTATATTTCATGTCAGTTCAAATTGTGGATTTTGTTTATCCACCAAATAACATGGCAATTTAGAGGGCATATATTTTTGATAATGTATAAACAAATTTAAAAGTTTGGGCAATTTAACTTACACTTACAGTATGCAAAGAATTTTGTAGAAAGCGGTAGAAAAAATGCCATAATGACTCAGAAATGGTTTGAAAATATGCCACAAATTACTCAGCAGTTTACAAGGAGGAAATCCATGAAAAATTTACTTTTAAATGTACAATAAAAACAATTTGAAACAGCTGAAATTATACAACAACAAAAGCGACTAAAACAAACAGACAAGGTTTGAGATTTTAGAGTTTACATTGCTAAGGTTTGGAGGTGTTTTAGCAAAGTAAATTACGATTAAACTTCTAACAAGTTGTGCTTTCAGCGTATATTTCCTAACAATCAATAAATATGTTTCCGGTTCAAATTTACGAGTTGAAATGTTCAAGCCTTCACACCTCGCTTGACAAATCGCTTTCCAGTTAAATAAATACCGAAAATGCAAAGAAATAGCTGTTTTATAAATGCAATAACCTTTTAAAGGATTAAAGCACGAAAATTATTCCGAAATTTAAATGCAATAAATTGCAACTGCCCAACCCTTTTCACTGCAATTGACATTGTCAATTTCATATTGAACATTTTGAGAGAAAAATATTCAATATATCCCCCGGCTTGCAGGGTTATATTGCTTATTAAGGGGTAGTAAACCATATTTTATGATGCTTCCGCAGTTGGGTGCTAAATAAATAGCCTATTTGAGCAGTATATATGGGAAAATAAGTTTTTTTGATTGTAATTATGGATGCACTATTTTGTCTTGTGAAAAGCGATATGGTTTTATACAGATCACAGACGCTCGAATATAAAATCACGATCACTTTTGACTTTATTTAGTGCTGTAATCGAAAGCACAAGTGCTTTTAAACGAAAAAATCTGAAGTATTGTTAATTTTACATACCTCGAGAGAGGATTGCCACTAAAATCGACAGTGACCAGAGCTTTACAAAATTTTATATTTTCTGGAATATCACATATATCTAAACGGGATATAAACACATATACAGACACATTAAATAAAGTTTACAATATGCTTTTATAATTTAATATATAAAACACACTCGCTAGCTTTTCTAAGAGGGCTGCACCGCAATAAAAGCGAACAATTGGTATGAATTGTAAAAGCACAATAAATTTATAATTCAAAATCTACAATCGAGCTATGAAAGCCTTACCGTTTCTACTGATGTCAAATTCTTCAAGATTTGTTAAATTTCCTATTTCTGGCGGTAACCGAGCAATTTCATTGTCACTAAGACCCAAATGAGTTAGATTATACAACCTAAAGAATGCCTAAAGAGTCACAATATATTGGTTAGCAAATATATTTTCAAAGGCCGATGATTGCTTTATGCGTTGTGTTTAGACAACCTTACCCTCGGCAGATCTTTAATCTGGTTCGCATCCAAATACAATTCTTGTAAATAGCGTTCATATCGATAAATTTCATCAGGAATGAAAGCTAGATTCCCATGTCTTCGATCGATATACTCTACCTGACGGTTACAACGCCATGGTAGCAAGCAACGAAACATGTTATAAAACGCTATTTACGTCGTAATTTCATGGGTAAAATTGCTAGCCTTGTCTTTAACTTCAGTTGTGGTGTCCAAATCCCCAGACACGATGTGGAAACAGTGCTTTTAGTTCATATTTTCTGTAAACAGTTGAGTATTTCACAGCTTTCGGCGTATTTTTCAACGCTCCCTACCGTGTGACGTCACAGGCAAAACATGGAGTCCCCCAGCATGCAACGCGCGGGTTGTATTAAACGACATCCTTCAAAAGTAGGTACCGTCTCTTGCACCCAACGATGAACATTAAGTATGCCTATTTTGACATTGTTAGTTTGTTACTCGTCAAGGGGAAGTCTATCTGTCCATATCTCTTGCTAACTGATTAATATGCCCTATACATTGAATATTAAGTTTGTTCGATCACTGCAACCAGGTATATCAATCATGTTTCGCTCCCTACTCTGGTTTAAATAAATGATTACAAAGCCCAGTCGAATTGTAATCAAGACCCAACGTTTCGACACTCCAGTCTAGTGTCTTCATCAGGGGTGATCTAAAATTGCAATCGTGGCTTCTTAAATACCCAAGGGATGACGTCACCTGCCAAGAAGATGCATATATTCCTCTGGCAAATAGGCACCGTCATCCCTATTCAAAGCATGATGACTCATATTTATATGCCACGCTTCTAGGCAAAGTCTTTGACCATAGCGACTGTTTGTGGTAATTACTTTAGAGTTTTCCCACTCAATCTTGTGTCTGGTGTAACATACATGTTCGGCTAAAGCTGATTTTCCCTTGTCTAAAGTTGAAACAGCCTTTTGATGTTCTTTTTAGCCGTGTACCAAACTGGCGTTAGACTGACCCAAATACTCTTTGTCGCAGTCACCGCATGGTATAGAATATATAGCATGAGTCTTCTGATTTTTTTCAACAGGATCTTTTGGCTTTGCGAAAATATGGCCTAAAGTCAAATTACAATTACTTAAGATTCTCTTGATTGGTTCTGTGACACCTTGAATGTATGGAACTATTGCAAAACCCTTAATAGAGGTATCACCCTCGGAGTCATCCCTTGGGTATTTAAGAAGCCACGATCGCAGTTTTAGATCACCCCAATTGGGACGTTAGTCCTGTTTTCCTCTCCTGTCACTCCG